AATAAAATAAAAAAAAAACTTGGAAAAAATAAACTTTGCGATATTAATATTTAATATAGTTGTAAAATTTGTGTCAAGAAGAATTAAATATACCGTTATGAATATACACAGTATTCAAATCGAACTAAATATATGGATATACGTCTTGACCTTGAGCAACTAAAATTTGCTCCGGCAACATGAAATAAAGCAAAACTGATACATGCATGTATGCTGATAAAGGAATGTACCAGGACTTATTTGAAGTAGACATGTCTTGAGATGAGTTGGAAAATCAAATAGAAAATTAACTAAAAGAAAACAGAGAAAAACTACATATAAAAAATGAAATAAAAAATAATAATATGAACACACAAAAAGACATAAATAATTATATAAGAACACAAAATAATCTCAATCACTCACTCTTACACTCTAACACCACATTTGTATCTACAGGCATGGGTTTGTTGGTTTATTTAATGTAGTTTATATTTGTTTTAAATGAATGTGCAGTTGGGCTTAAATGACCTTAGCTGTTAATAGGACGTTAAACAAAATCAAACAAACAAACAAACAAACAAATATGATAACAAAGTACACTAGTTCACAGAATACAAATATGTGGCATTTTGGTATTTCATAATAAATTATTAGTTTTTCAATAATTAAATAAATTATAACTATTGATTTACATTACTCCATCATACCTTAAGTGTCATGACCACATAAAGTCCCTGGAAATTTGTTTTGCCCTGTGATCAATCAACCTTGGTATATTATATGTAAATATATATATTCATTATCCACTATCAACAGAAATAATGAATTTATCTTACAGAATACAAAGAATACACCAACCACATACAGCGTGTATATTTATCTATTTAAACCGTCCTGTAGCATAAATATATTTATGCACACACTCCATCAATTGATTGTTCTGTAAATCACTATTACTAGTGTTTCCATTTAGAATAGTACTTAAAGGTATTGTATTATGGAAATCTTCATCATTTAATAAAAGATCCTGCATAAAAGTTTGTCGTTCTTCTGTATAGAGAGGACATTCAAAAAGGAAATGATAAGAGTTTTCAATTGCATGACTACAAGGAAAGTTTGGACTATTTTTCAAGTGATCTTTAACTAGATCATAGTTTAGTTAACTAGCACCATTTCTTAATTGACGCATTAATATATTACTTTTTCGTGAACCAGAGTATTTAAATACAGGTGTACATACATTTTGTTCTGTGTCCCCTACAAATACCTTTTGTATTTCCCTTTTAAAAGTAATAATATTTGTAATATTAGTAAGGTTATTATTGGCACTGTTCCATATGTTCATGATACTGGGAAAAAAAACTATTAGCATATAGTGTGGTTCTAGGAAGGGGCTCATTGAAAATTCTTGAGTGCCTAAGATTGTATGTATTTTCTTCTGGGTTTAATATATATGGTTGAATAATTTCATGTAGATAATTTGGGGTTATTTTGTTTGTTATTTTAAAGAAGAAGATGTGTTTATGTTTATCCCTCCTATTCTGTAAACTTTCCCACCCTATTTTTTTTTATATAATATACAGTGGCTAGTGCCTTTTCTTAGACCAGTAATTATCCTGATAACATCAAGCTTGATAGATTCCAAGAGATCTTTTTCTTGTTTTGTACAGTTATCCCATATAACACAAGCATACTCTAGAATAGGTCTGATAAGTGTAGTATACAATATTTCAAGTGCCTTTCTACAGATTTTAAATTTTAACATTCTTAGAACATTTACTCTTTTAGATGCCTTTTCAAAAATAAAGTTTATATGATGTGTCCAGTTACCCTGTTCATTTAAGTAAACCCCTAGATGTTTGTGATTTGTAATATTACTTACCCGAGTATTATTAAATACAAGGTGTGGATGTAGGTTATCTGCAGTAATTTTCTTAGATTCTATTAAAGATTCAGTTTTATCTGGGTTGAAAAGTATACCCCAATCATTTGCCCATTTTGATATTTTGCGTAGATCTTCATTCAGACTGTTTGCTGCTTGCTGATGATTATTGTTTATTATTATGTATAATGAAGTATCATCAGCAAATAATTTTATGTTACATCCTATCTCATTTTCCAGATCATTAATATACAAAAGAAATAAGTATGGTCCTATGACCGAGCCCTGAGGTCCCCTGCTTTCAATATGTGCCAAGTAGAATGGAAACCATCATATATTACTCTTTGTTTTCTATCTCTGATATAATTTTTGAACCACCCCAACATATTATTCTTAATTCCATATTTCTCCAATTTGTGTATTAATCCTCTATGCCACACCCTGTCAAATGACTTACTTATGTCACAAAAAACTAGCCTTATTTCATTTCTTTCATCCAGCTGACTTACTATAGTATTATACAGTGACATAAGGTGATTAACTGTAGAGTCTTTAGGTAAGAAACCCGATTGATTTTTTGATATTATATCATTTAAAGACAGATAATTGTATAAGTATTTAAAAATGATTTTTTCCAACATTTCTATAAATATTGGAGTAATAAAGATTGGTCTATAGTTAGCTGGATCACACTTTTGACCTTTACCTTTATATATAGGGACAACATTAGCACATTTCCAGGTGTAAGGCTTGACTCTATTGATTTATTAAATAATATTAATAAGGTTTTAACCAGAGATTCAGATATTCCCTTTATAAAGTAGGGGGAAATATCATCTGGACCTGCTGATTTATTGGTATTTATTAAATGGAGCTGATCTTTGATATCTTGCTCTGTAATAATGATATTACTAAAGGTAAATGGTGGAAATTCAATTAGTGGTGTGACATCATCATCTGTTTTATTTGAAGTTGAGATAGTCGCAAAGTATTTATTTAGTACTTCAGCTTTCTCTACAGGATGCGTTATTATCTTGCCATTTACTTTTAATGGTGATTTGTCATTACTTTTATTGTTGATATTTAAGACTTTTTTTGCAATTTTCCACCATTTATCTTTAGGAATAGATTGATCAGAAAGCGAGTTTTGGAGTTTTTCAAGATATATTCCCTTTGCTTTTTTGACTAGCGTAATGACCTCATTTCGTAAATGCCTAAATGTACTCCATGCCATCTCAGTATTGTTTTGTTTAGCCTTTTTTGTGTTGTCTATTTCTTTGTCTAATTTTAAGTCTGATGTCATTGTTAAACCAGGGTTTGTCTTTCGGTCTTACACTTATGGTTTTAACGGGTACACATTTATCTATGCATTCATGTATTTCTTGTGTGAGATATTCATTTATATTTTCTACATGTAACTGTGATAATTTGTTCTCCTGGTCAATAGATAATAGATATTCATTTGCTCTCACAAAATAGTAATAATAAATAATAATATACAGCATTTATATAGCGCCCTATATAATTTGTAAAATTAATCTAAGGCGCTTTACAACACATGGATAATAGTAATGGTTATAATTGTGAAAACAAACAACAAAGGCTTGCAATCACTTTCATACATTTAACAAGCAATGTGCACATAATTGAACAAATAAAAGGGTGGTATTTACATGACGTCTTTGCAAAGATTCTAAAATGCAGACGTGAAGTTTTTATGTCCCTCTTGAACTTGGCCAGGGTATTCGACTTCCTAATAGCAGATGGTAAGCTATTCCACAACGTAGCCGAAACCCTCCCAAAGCATCTGTTTCCGTAGGTCACAGTACGAGATTTTAGGACAAACAACAAAGATTCTGACTCCGACCGCAGTGATCTTGACGGCTGATACAGGGTAACAGGTTCCTGTAGGTACTGAGGAGCTGTTCCATTCAGTGCCTTGTATGTGTATACCAGAAATCCGAATTCTTATAATACAAGACAGGTTTTTTTTATAACATTTTTGTTTCAGAGTTTTATATGTTATTTCTGCTCTAGTTGGGCAGTGATCACTACAGAAGGGTACATTTACTTCAACATTTTTGACTATATTACAGTTATTTGACATAATGACATCAATACTAGTAGATGAGCTTGCAGTAACCCTTGTTGGCTCATATATGTGGTTTTTTAAATCGTATTTGGTCATAATTCTTGAAAGTCTAGAGTTTGGAGTAAGGTTAAGCATATCTTGATTAATATCGCCTATAAGTATCAAGTCTTTATTTAAATCAATAACTTTTTCTAACATATTATCAAAAATATTCCAGTAATCTACTAAAGAACTCGGTGGTCTATATATGCATCCAACTAAGAACGTTTTTTCATCGATTTTAACTTCCAGCCATAGGGTTTTTATTCCATCAATTTCTAAGTCTTTTCTTCTTTTAGCATACAGATAATCTTTTACATCAACTACCACTCCTCCACCTCTGTGTGTTTCTCTGTCTTTCATAAATATAACTTTGTGGTCATCTAGGAGGATATCAGTATCAGCAATATTTTTATTTAAATTAGTTTCAGTTAAACATATTATATAAGTATCTGAGAATTCGCTTTCAATAACATCGGTCTTGTTTCTTAGAGAACAAACATTTGCATGACATATTGTAATATTATCATGATAAAATGCACTTAAGTTGTTATTTAGAGAATGAGCTGGGCCTGGCTTAGTTTGTATGTTATTGCAGAGGATCAACAGCAAAACCAGAACTTTAAAATAGAACATCAAATTGTTTGGAGTGTGAAACGTGTACAAATTTGGTCATTGGTATAAAGAAAATCTCTGTCATCTCGCTATGTTTATTACACACAAGCTGACATCTAGGGTTCAATCTTACGAAAAGAACTCATTGTCGGCTGCAACATGACTGAGATTTTCTGCCTCACAAGCACATAGATATTGTAAATCGAAATAGACCCATGCCGTTGGGTAATGGTAATATATACAACACAATACACAAATGAACAACTCGACTCACATACACTAAAAATAACAAACACACTTACATTCATATTGTCTTCCTCACCTCTCACTCCCAGCTCTCGTGGATTTTGTTTTGAACATGATTAAAATAAAGCTTTGTTTCACTTGTAGGTTGAAACATTTATGTGACTCTGATTTGTGGTTACTTTCAATTTGCTGGCTAGAGCTATTGAATTGGCTCATTGTGGGTAAAAGGATTAGCTATACACTAATAAAGGTATGTCAAATATTTGTTGTTTTATCGTTTGTTAATATGATCATTTGTATGAACAACAGCAGGTTGTACGTAACTAAAACCAGACCTGAATGCACATGCATATATGTGCACTTTCATGTACTACCTAGTTAACTTTGTATATAAACGCGACGTTGTACAGCTACTTTAAAGTAAACCGAAATATACATATACGTATATACAGTATGACTGCATTTTATAGAGTCTGCGTACTCAGACTACCATGTAGATAGCATTGGTCTTACATGCACTTATAAAGTAAACAACAACAACTGTTTACATATACAGCAGGTTTAAGTTTACATTGATTTGTCACAAATGCTCTACTCACCTAACAGTAAATGTCAACTGATCATGACTATGTGCTATATGCATGTGTACAATTACAAGGCCATGTATAGTTTAAAATTAATAATTTCAAAAATCACTGTGTAATTAAAGACATGAACAAATACTAAGCCAATTCAAGATATAATATTTTGGTTACGATTAATCATGACACGTATACTTACATGTAATTAGTATATATAACAATTGCTTTACCATCATTCTTGAAATACATTTAAAATGGTATTCCAAATACATGAAAATATCAGTAATTGTTTAATGTAAAATTGGTACAGTCCCTTAGAATAGATAATCAGTATCCTCCTTGTCTTGTTGCAGGGGTGTAAACCTGTTGGATTGGGACTTGCCTGTTGTTGACGGGGAATATCTGGAGTTCTGAGCACACTTGTCTTTCCTTTAATTGCTACATTGTAGCAGGCTTTGAGGGTATTTCGGGGGGGGGGGGGGCCGGATAAGACGAGAGCTCAGAGAGCTTTGTGACCTGCACTTTCTCACCGTTGAGACTTCTGATGACTATTCTACCATCCCTAGTCCATGCTCCGGAGACAAGTCTCTGTATGTTTGATTTATGCAAGCTTTTTCAAACTATAAAAATGTCATTCTAAAGTAATTGTCAGTGGTATCGAACATCACTTAAATGACGTCATGATAATAATGTAATCACACATCGGCCAGTAACAGGCTGATATGAAGGGCAACCAAGTTTGTTCAAATGAAAAAGTTTGACAAATATTAGATGTCACATGGGTCAAATATGATGAAAACTTTAAACAACTGCTTTATTTTATTTTTCTTCGATTTAGAAGTCATAGATAATGATAGTTTGCCTGCAGCTATATTTTACTTCACGTTTAAGGTAACAAGTGTGAGATATATACCAGATGAATAATAATATTAATATACAACATTTGATTTGCGCCCTATCTATCTAACATAAGCCTCTCTAAAGCGCTTTACAGTACATATATATACAGGTTCTGCCTGCAATGTCCAGTTTTGACCACTGAAATCTCGGGGAAGCCCCGCGTAAATTTAGCGCAGATTTATTTATATATGTCACGTGGTTGTTTCGAAAGCGAGGCAGTGAAGATAACAACAATAGCACGCCGTCATGTTCCATGTCGGACTCAACTAGCGGACAAGACAGCAATACTATACGTACATAATTGTTTTCTAAGGTCATGTATGATGCAAGTGTAGTATTCCTACCTATATGTTGTTGTTATATATAACGGTATTGATACCTCGTGCCTGTCATGACTTTTGCATGCATCTTTGTCTTTCGCCGCGATGTTTACATTTGGCCTTGTTGATGATCTGGGTCAATTGGGAGTTTTAGAATGTCAGGTGACGATTTAGGATGTCTTTAATATAATTATAATTTTTACTCTTAGGGAGTGAATTTCAGCAAAATTTGAATCGGTATATTTCATAAGAAGGTATTTTAAACATGTGTATGCCATTTTAGCAAATATGACGTTTTCCCCGACCAGCCCCTTTAATGGATTCCATGAAGAGATAAGCTAGTCGTTAGCCATTACTTATTTTGTTCCATTCTGGTCTTTGTTTTAAACTTAAATTAAAGTAAAAAGGAATGCTGTGGTTCTCTAATAGCATCTTCAAAACAACTTAACTTCACGGAAAATAATGAAAGCATTATGACGGGATAATCAAGAAATTTTCCTCAATTGTTCGGTCATTTCGTTTAATAACGTTGCATAGTGTAGAACGGTAATGGCATCACCTGTCATTTGAAATAATGCTTTGACATTATTAGCGCATATGTAGGCATCGTAAAACCCGAAAAAGCCATCAACTTGATAGCCCTTGATCTCGTATATACATCCTTGACGATCTGCACGTTGTCTGCGACGCGATAATTGGCTACTAAATTCCGCGATGAAGTATATTATTTCGGTATACTACTGTCATTTATTGTAAAGTGTTGTATTTTTCAGGTTAACTGGCCACCAGGGTTGATTTAGCGTTGTGACTGAATGGCTCATCTCGTCACTAAAACGTGTTGGATCTGTAGCACTTCGACACAGAGGAAAACTGATAACAGTAGTGTGTGACGCGTGTGGTGACACGACGACCTCCGAAGCGTGCGGATAGAAGCAGACACCGAAAAAGAAACAAAACGAGTCAAGGTGTTATGGAATAGAGGCATGAGAATTGTTATCAATGAAAACCTGTACAACTCTAGGGGCAGTCGACCTCGTGTTGAAGGTCACTGTAGTTATCTTGAGCTTTGGGGTAATATCTGTCGTGGCAGCAGGTCGCTTCACGAACTGTGGAGGGTTTCTGAATGAGTCGAAGGGGGTTATACATTCCCCTAACTTTCCGAATCAGTTCCCTACCCCTATTCTATGTGAATGGGTTATCAAATCCCCACTCGACAAAAAGGTGATGATATATTTCACCCAATACTACCTGCGAGGACATTTCCACGTGTTTGAATATGACTATTACAAAGATCCAGGCACTCCCTATGCAGGAGAGAAAAAACTTGCCACTGTTAATTACGAAGATAATATCTGGGGCGTCGCTGGTCACAAACAGTATGTTGTGCTTCGATTTGCTGTTCAAGAAATGGGAAACATCCACATGCGAGTGCTGGATCACTTCATGGACGTGTACGGTTTCAATATCACCTATGAATTTGTGGCCAAACACAGTAATATCACGAAAAACACATGTTACGTACAGTCGTGCTCGTTTCTCGGGGACTGTATCGCAACTGCAGATTATTCTGTATATGAATGTGAGTGTTTCAAAGACTATTTCGGCGACATGTGTCAGTTTGGACCCCACTGTGATCCTCTCAACAACATCAACATGTGTGAAAATGGCGGAAAATGCAGGTAAGAAAAGAGTTTGGTGTATTGGTGTTCGAGTAATGGTATGTATTAACATAACCAACTTGTGTTCATGTCTTCATAAACATAAAAAAATATAACTTACAATACATAAAATGATATTCTAAATTGATGTTTATTCTCAAATATTTGCTGTATTGAAGTGTCACTATCGTGAGTTGAAACGGTATAGCTGACAGTCAAATGTCACCTAATTACTGCCTTCATACCTCAAAATAACACCAATCCCATTGCTATCATAGCCCGTTATATCTGGTATATCTTACAGACTTGCAGCTGAAATGAAAATAATGCCTATTTCTTGTCGTTATTCATGATAAGTAATAACTTGTTATAAGGTAAATATGTATGTTTATTTTTTTATTTATTCGCATTTTATTTTTTGTTTTTAATTTTGTCTAGTTTAATGTTAGGTAGGGTTTTGCTTCATTTCATCTCTCATGTTGCGTTTGATAAAGACTTTGACGTTTACATGATTGCATGCATAGACTGAAGAAAAGAAGTGCATAGTTGGCAATTTTCATGAAGATTGCTTCACAGCTCACTAATACTGTAGGGAGCACACATCCTTAAGTCATTCCGTGTAAAAACGATGCTCAAGTAAACTTACGTAACAATTTTGTGAACAGCCACTCACCGTTTGATCCGTCTCCAATTTATTGCGTAACATCCCTAGTTAATGTACTTATAAAGGAATATGATTTTTGAACGAGGCCACTAGGGGGTACAAAACATTACATTATTCAGTACTATAATGTGTAAACACTCAAACATCTTTTTTCTGAAGAACCAAACTTTCTGAATCATGATATTTGGCCAGAAACAGTCTTGCATGGAATGCCGCACAGAATGCGAAACTAGGTTACCGTGACCTTATTCTGAGGTCATTGGTGTCAAATTGCAACATTATGAGGTAATTTAATGTTTTACTTTGGAAAAAACGTTCATTAAAAGACATGTAAAAATGTAAAACGTGGTGTATGATCATAACGGTTCTTTTTGCAACAAGTTTCGAAAATTACTTTTGATTAACAAAATACTTCTAGTAATAGCCCAGCATGCAATCACTTTGATTTTTTTTTAATTGAAATTTCTTCGGATACGTTTGCCTGCAATCAAATCAGGAATTCAAGATTTTCTTTTTTTTATTCATAAATTATATAATATATCTAAAATTAAGCTGCATTTCATGTTGTAAAGCAGACTCGAAGACTTTTTAAGTCACCGGAAAGAAGACGACGAGTTGAAAAAGATTTGAAATTAAATTTTAATTCCAAATTAATTTCCCCTAATTATCACACTTGATACCCCTTTAAAACATACAAACATGTTCAAAAACTTACCGATCAGCAGAAGTGTACTTTTATAATCCGGTGGAGTAAATAGGAAGTTTAAGCAGTGCAAACATTTTCCAACTGGTCTGCTCATTAGATTTTGAGATCTATCAGCATTAAGGTAATTCATATAATTATAAGAAAACTCGTTCTCAACATCCTACTGCACTAGCTTGACCATGTTTCGGACAAAATACTCCCCATACCACATGAATGTGTATTGAGGATTAATCATCTGACGTCAACAGATGTCGATATTGTTCCGATCGTACTTCAATCAGCTTAATGCTTACCGTGGACGAATTACCACAGTGAGCTTATGTGTTGGTGTTTCGTACGTCAGTCGTCCATCTTTTTCTTAAACGATATCTCCTCCCAACTTTCTATGTAGGTTTCAACCAAATTGTAGTCTTAGTGGAAATGAAAAAGTTATATATACATAAAGGGGACGGACTCTCGTGGGATGAAACTATTTGATTTTCTTCAAACGACATCTTCTCGCCAACTTCTGGGTAGGTTTCAACCAAATCGTTTCAGTTTTCTTAGTCAATTAGGATAATTATTTTTACAGACACTGATGCTTCTGCTTCCGGAGCTTATTTACAGACTAAAATGGTAGAATTTACAAATACATTATAATTTATTTAGGCCTTGTAGCAAAAATATTTTCCTACTTTAAATGCAGACACTTTAATGAATATTGGATTGAAAACACTCGGTTATTGTTTCAGACACATAACGTATGTAAGCAAACTTTGTATTCATTTTTCGTCTTGATTGTCTCTTTTTAAATACAAGTTCTCGGGTCTTCAACAAGGCATGGTCATAGCATCTCTTTTTATAATGCATGTCAAAAGTCAGTCAAAGATATTTACACTTACGTTTAACATAAAAATATACAAGATGATAACAGAGAACCGTGTCGAAATCCTTTTAAATATTTCAATTTCCTGTCAGGCACGACATTGATGGAATTCCTAAATTGTAATTACAATTTATATTAACTACATATCAGTGAACTTCGTCAGCATACACAATAGGGCTAAACGTACGGAAGTTAATTATTATACATAACTGCATAGGCAAACAAGATAAGCCAATATTTTGTTACCTTTTACATAAACAATGGCGCTGGGTATATGCAAAAGGAGGGTACACAAATGGACGTGTTATCAAATATACGAGGCGATCACGCAAGCTTTAATGTATGTGTAGTAGTGGGCATTTTTTATTCTTAATTGTATTCATCAAATGTAATTTACAATAAATTCCTGTAGTCATATGCGGAATGACATAAATATCCATTCTTTACTTATATCTAAGTAACAAATTTTTTTTCGTGAAATTACCAATAAGAATTTAATTGATTTCTATATGTGTTACATGGAACGATCAAGTGTTGTTATATCAATATTCATTATGTAAATGTATCATTCCGATCTATTGCAGGTACTTTTACGGAACCTATGTGAACTATTGCGAATGTCCGGAGGGTTTTTATGGTACAAAGTGTGAGGAAACCGGAGATATCATGTCGGAGAGTAAGTACAGTTTGCTTAACCTACCTAGATATTTATGAATGCATTGCCATCAGTATTAACGTATTAGAGATCCACTTTTAGTACATTTGTTCTTAGCATAAGTTTATAGTTAAATGTACATACTTCATACATGTATCGAGGAAATTCATGTCTCTCTATTCTTTGCCTGAAACAAAGGTGGCATGTACACCTCGTCTGTCTAATGCCCTTCTGACCGAATAAAGATTAGAAATGCTGTTATGTGTAATTAAAACCCGATGTTTGTTAAAAGCACAACACTGCAAAAAATAAAATGATCTAGTAGGATTTCGAATCCCCGATGATATTTAAATAACAAATAAAGCACTTCTAACAAAAGAAATAATAAAAAGAACGAGATATAGAATCAAACAAATATTGTTTTAACCTTTATGCGTTTAACATTTTTTTTTTTAAAAAGACACCAGGAACTAGATGGTTTTTATAGGTTTTTTTTCTAACTGATATAATTAACGGCGTGTGTTCGGTTGGATAAGCTCAAATACAAGCTAATAATCATTCAAAATGTATTGTTTATATAGAAGTGTTTACAGGGTACATTGACAACATGGCACGATGCAAACATGCAAATGTGGCGAAATGTTCTTTAAGTATTCAGGGAAATGATTTAAAACTTTGTGTTACATCAGCTTACGTAATCCGTTTTCTGTGAGGTAAATACATGTTTTCTACATATAATAAGTTTCTACTTGAACACGTATCAATGATGCGTTAGTGTCCTGATATATAACATGTAATGAAAGAGTGTTAACTTTCACATCTCTAATAACGATCTTACAATCTTACCGAATAGGCGTCAATATTGCAGTGATGGATGACAGTTTACATTAGAAGTTTATTAGGAGTATTATTACTAATTTTTCTTTTTCTTTTTTTTCTTTTTTTATTGATTTTTTTCATTTCATAGACATATACATATTAGACATACATCAACATATTATACAAGTAATTTCAAACACACATCAAATACATACATATATCCACATCTGTGCTCCTGTCTCCACACCGTCTCACCTTCAATTCATATAAGCCTTAGTACATAATTAGGCCCACATTCCTATACTCAAAAGTATGCTTAAGCACATATACATACAACATATACACATATATATATACATACATACGCACACACACACAAACATACATACTCCACACACACTGCATATACATACATGCATCATTCATACATACATGTACATACATCTGCACACACATCTACGCCTATACACATACTGTACAATGCATCACATGTATGCATAATAATGCAGCATACATATATATCCAGCGGTGAAGAAACATTCTTTCGTACCTACACATAAAAAGTAAAGAGGGAAATCTAGGCAAAGGCAAAAGCAGCTGGCCAGAAAGAAAAAAGAGAAAAAAAACAACATATATCTATTCTAAGAACAGAGACCATTTGCCCCATATCCTTTGAAACTCATCACATTTATTTTTCTGTTGGTATATAAGATTTTGTATTCTAATTCCCATTTGTATGTGAGTTTTCAAAGTATTCAATTGTAAATCTTTCTTTAAGCATCTAGAATTGTAAATATATTGTTTTATTATAAGTAGCAAATAATTATCTGCTATATGGGCCTTTTGATTATCTCTATATTTGCCAAACAGAAACATATTTTTTTCGAAAACTAAATCAATATTTTGTGTATTTAAATATATTTGAAAATTTTGGAGTAATTCCTGGGTCTTATCACATTCCCACAGAAGATGTATTATAGTTTCTCTTTCTGTTTTACAAAAAGTACAATCTCCATTTTCAGTTAAACCAACTTTTTGTGTATATGAATTAGTAGTCAAAATTCTATGGTTTATCCTATATTGTAACCATAAAAGCTTTGAGTTTTTAGTGGTCTCAAAAAGACATTTGTAAACTAATCTCCAATCTTCCACAACTATTCCTAATGAGAGATGCCATTTTACCTGTGCAGCTGGTTGAGTATTGTTTTTAATGAGTACTCGATATACATCCTGTGCTCCTCTTGTACTTTTTAAAATTAATTTTAAATTTATAGGTACAAAAGGTAAAAATAATCTCTCATGTATATTTAGTCCCTGTCGATCAACATATTTGCGAATAGCTGCAACCATTCCCTGATAAGTTAAAAAATTTGTCCTGATATCATATCTGGTATTAAACTCTTCATGTGAATAAATAGATCCATCATGTCTAATCATATTATGTACATGTGTTATTCCTTTAGAGTACCAGGTTTTATAGAGCACTGTTTGCCCGCCAATTTTGATATGTTCATTATACCATAAAGGATTTTCCAATATATTATTTTCATATTGTTTGCTCGCCAAAACAGTAGCAAACCAGGCTTTTAAAACATCCTTCCAAAATAAATTTGTTGTATTATTAGAGTTAGCCTTGATGTTTTGTATTCCACAATTTGCTAGGTAGTCGGTATTAAAAGCATTATTAAACATATTTACCCAATTATTGGTTTCTCTGTATAGTCTTCTTATCCATGTTGACTTCAGTGCTGTGATAAAGTGTTTAACATTGATCATCTTTAGCCCCCCCTCGTTTGGACATTTTGTTAATACATCTCTTTTGACACGATCTGTTTTACTATTCCACACAAACTCGTATAAAATACTATTTAATTTTTTAATGAAAACTTCATCAGGGTTTGGTAATGCTATAAAAAGATGATTCATTTGGGATACCAGAAGGGATTTTACAATTGTTATTCTTCCAATTGGAGTTAATATTCGTCTTTTCCAATTAACAATTAATGATTTTAATTTCACTAATTTTTTATCAAAGTTTAATTTGGTTATCCGGTGAAGATCTACATCAAATTCTATCCCTAATAAGTTAAACTTGGAATTACCCCATAATAGGTTTAGATTTGTCTCGTATATTGTTTCACTATATTTTTGGTTGCCAATCCAAATCACTTGGGTTTTTGAAAAATTTAAATTCAGTCCTGAAATTCTGGCGTATTTATTTAAGTCTGAAATAGTGGAATTTAGAGATAATCTAGTGCCATCTAGTATGACTGTGGTGTCATCTGCGTATTGTGATAGTAAAAACTCCTTATCTCTTATTTTTATACCTTTGATATTTTTATTATTTCTCAATTTAATTGATAAAATTTCCGCACAGAGAATGAATATGTATGGTGATATTGGATCCCCTTGTCTGCACCCACGCTCAATATTAAAAAAAAATGACAAATTGCCACCTTGAACTACTGCTGATTTGGAATCATGTTGGAATAAGTTGATCCATTTAATTATATTTTTACCAAAATTGAAAAAATCAAGTGTTTTACTGATAAAACTCCATGAGACAGAGTCAAACGCTTTTTCAAAATCAATTAGTAATAAAAGTCCTGGTAAATTATTTTCCTCTGTGTAATGCATAATATCATAGATCAGTCTTGTGTTTTCGCCAATATATCTCCCCAGAATAAAGCCTGTCTGATCAGTACTGATTAATTTCTTTAAAAGATTTTTCATTCTATTAGCAATTGAACCTGAAGCAATTTTATAAACAATGTTAAGTAATGTTATTGGTCTCCAATTTTTCAAAAAAATTCTAGATTTATCTCCCTTTGGTATACATGTTATTATTCCTTGTTTTTGTGTTTCAGATAGGTTTGTTATCTCAAAACCATAATTTATAGATCTTTCAATAAAATGTCCAATGCTTTTCCAAAAAAAAATAAAAAACTCAACTGTGTAACCATCTGATCCTGGACTTTTGTTATTTTTCATTTTCATTAATGTTTTTGCAAGTTCACTAATGTTCAATGGTTCTTCTAAGGCTTCAGATTCATTATCCGATAGTTTTGGCACATCATAGTCATTTAATAATATATTTAAGTCTTCATCGAGTATATTATCATTTTTTTTATATAAGTTTTTATAGTAGAGTTCAATTTCTTTTAATATTTCAGACTGATCTGTTATAACATTACCATTTGATTTCTCTACTCTTGGTATAATTTTGTTTGTGAAATTTCTTGACTCAAGTCCACAAAAGTATTTACTAGGCTTTTCCCCTTCTTGTATCCATTTTGCTTTTGACCTTATCATACTTCCCTTAAGTTTGTGTTTCCTTATTTCTTCTAATTCTGCTTTTTTTGTATCTAATGTGATATTGTACTGATTATGATGCTCTAACTGTTGAATTTCATGGATAAGTTTTTTTTCTTTTTCTGAGAAGTGTTTTTTTTTATAACTAGAGTAGGAGATTGATTTCCCTCTGATTTCCATAAGGAGTGTCTCTAAAAATAGCTGGTCGTTAATTATAAATTGTATTTCATTATCAGGTATATTACTAATGTTTTCCTTATTATAAACTGGTAGTATATATTGCTCTTTAATTCTTAAAATGGTTTCATTGATAGACTTAACATAATCTGAGTCAAATAATAAAGTGTTGTTGAATTTCCATAAACCTCTCCCTTTTTTAAAATCCTTAAACTGTAATGTAATTGTTATACTGGAATGGTCCGATCTATAACTTGGTTCAATTGTTGCTGACTTTAGGCTTGGTAAAATATTTTCAGATATAAGAAATAAGTCAATTCTAGATTGTTTAAGAGGTTGTTTTTTACGCCAGGTATATCTTTTAGCTTCTGGGTGTGATTCTCTAAATGAGTCAATCAAATCATACTTTTCCATAATTTCTAAGACTTTATTTCTAGCGTTTGAATTATTGATGTGTTTGTAGTTATCATAATCAAGAGTAGGATTTATGACAAGATTAAAGTCTCCACATATAATACAATGATCATTATCTAATTCTTCAACTATGTTAGCAACATTTTCATAAAAATCTGGTTTGTCTGTGTTTGGTCCATATAATGTGACTAATGTAATTTTCCTATTATCTATTTGCAAACCCAGCACTAGAAGATTTCCAGCATTATCTTTTTTCATTTGTATAACTTTGTATTCAAAATTGTTATTAAAAAGGATAGCGATTCCACGAGAATATGAATTAAAAGAACTAAAATAGCAAAAACATATACATAATACTAACACAAAAAAATGCTGTCAATAGGGTACAAAAGCGCAGCAATTTACCTTCCCAAAACAGTGAGATGATTGAGCTAGACACATACCGGAAGTAAGCAAGCGCTGACGAGATTCAGATTTTGTCTCCTGTGGTGCGTTCGGATACGAGCACACTAACAACATGAAAGTATTGTCAAAACCATATTTTTTCTGTATCTTGTTCATCATTTTTTTAACCATTTTTAACGAAAAATGATCGCATGAAATTGGAAATTACACGATGTTTTATCATTTATATTATTTCGAAAGCACATCATATAACAATAGTAAAACACAAGTCCCTGTGCAATAACCAAAGAAGGTAAAAATACAATTACTAACATTTCTATTGGTGGAAGTATGTATATATGAGACTGAAGCATCTCATTCAGTACAAAATGGTAAAAATCAGAAAAAAAACTGCCTGCATTACATTAGGGTGTTTACAGGTGTAAATTGTTATGCACGTAACAAAGGTATATTACACACATTGCTTGCCAGGGGCAATCTCGGTATACAATAAATATTTTGAAGTAACATAAAAAAATCATGTGCAAAGCTTTTATTGCAAAGGAATATATTACACACATGTTTGGATTTAACTAAAATATCTATGTTTCGCTTATCGGTGCATTTGTAAATACAACTTGATTTTTTTTTTTTTTAAATCACACAAAGCAAAGACATGTCGAGAGACAAAACATAACCTAAACAATGAAATCTTTGATACTTGCATAAGACATGCAGTTTGTATAAAGTTCTTCAATAAACATCTCACGTGAAAAAAATTGGCTTTGTCCAATCTAATAGATCTAACAATTTAGGAGAGATTCAGAGTTTGTCCACATCAAAACCCGGGTAAACCCGGTGAACAGTGTTATTAGATTTGAGGCGCGCCAAAATTTTCCCGTTCTGTACCCAATTGCAAGTTTCTGCAATTCTTTCGTCTAACTGACATGTTCTTACGAGATATTGGTTCTCACGACTTAAATCCTCTCTTATCACATACCTTGAGCCTCTGGGGTTTTTCCTTTTCTCCACACTTCCAATTTTCTTTCGTCTACACATGAATTTAACAATCACCGGTCTACTTTGAGTGTTCCTGAATATTCCGATGCGATGGGCAATATCTATATCTTTGTCCGTGACGTCCATTTTCACCTTATCTGCTAGAAATTTTACCACTTTTGAACACGTGTCTTCCATCCGTTCTGTTTCGTGATCCTCTAATCCAAATATCCGGATGCTGGATTTTCTCGTATACTGCTCCAGTTCATTTATGTCGTGGTTCGTTTTTTCTGCAATGTATCCCACCTCTCCGATGTCGCTTTCCGTCCCGTCTACTCTCTTTTCTAGTTGTATTATTCTGTTGTGCATTTCTTCGTTTTTCCCCTCTAAGTCGAAAACCTTTGATTCAAGTTGATCTATACGTTCCGCCATTTTCTCCATGATTTCGTCCTTGACTGTCTCTATGGCCTGTGCTAAATTTTTCTTTGTCGCCATTTTGTCAAAATTTGCCTTCATTTCTTCTTTTGTCACTAAAGTAGACAGTTTTTGGTCGATAGAGCCCACTTGTTATTGTATAAGCGACATATTTTTCTTAAATTACTCATTCATTAGCTTTAGTTGGGCCTCCATTGTAATGGCGGGAATCGTCGTTTGTGCGAACTTTGTCTTTTTCGAAAGTATTTTTGAACCTATTTTACCGTCTTTCAAAGGGTTTTTTCTTCAAAACTCCTGTCCGAACTAGACGTTGAAATATTTTTACGTTTTTTATCTAGGTTGGCTCCTGCTGGCATGCTTACTCGTGTTTTAAAACGCTGTGACTACTCCGTCACGCACGGGCAATATACCCGTATACGTACACAAAGTCAAAAATTAAAACATTCTTTGTTGGAGTAATATGAAGTTTTTTTTTGGTATTTTACTCACTGTTTGGGTCGCCAAATACTACGCTTTAGATGTGTTCATCTCAAGTACATCTCACTGTCCTTGAAAACACATATATATTCATTTATAGTCCTTATTGTCGGAGCGATGTTGAAACACGTCCATCTTGTTTGAATGCCCTATGACCTCCCCTAATCTTACCGAATAGGCGTCAATATTGCAGTGACGGATGACAGTTTACATAAGAAGTTTATTAGGAGTATTATTACTAATTAATGTTTTTAAACTGTGTATACCAAAAAGATTAGTTTGGAATGTTCCAACTGTAAAAGCAAATGTCTTGTTATCAATGTACCACAGGGGAACTATTACCAGTGAATAAATGATTTTAAATGTTAGTCATCCGCAAGTTGTATCTATTTCATATTGTCGATGAGCAACAATGCTCCATGTTGTTTTTCACTTAAAATTCTTATAAAGTTAGCATATTTTCCTTTTAAAAGCTTGTATGCGTTTCCATAAAAACGTAACGACCATCATCGTTAGCAGAAGACGCAATACATATTCAAAAGGTATCGTAAATTTGTTTTAAGACAAGATGACAGACTCGTTACATGTCATAGATACATATTATGGAACTGTTTATGACTGCTGTTCCCGTGAAACATATTATACTTGGCAGGTCGAGATGAAACTTTTGTCATTACTTTATCATCAAGACTCAGCAGACCTTAACATAATAAAGAAGTAAAAACAGGCTTAGGCGATAGTGTCGAGGCCGATATTATTACGTAATAACCTTGCATGACATTCAAGCACCTTACATAATAAACTAACTAGATCGGTTATCGTCTGGAAACTGCATACTTTCTGGGTGCATTTTGGTTAACGACCAGAAATTTACTGAAAACAAATTGCATTGCTAATTGAATCCGATACCTTCAAGGAATATTTTTATTTTATCAGTCCTAGTTTGTTGCAGACCTCTGATAGATTTCTGTGTTTAAAGATGTACTTATTTATAATAGTTTAACCCCATGACGTTATATTTCAGAGTGCAAGATATTGGACTGTGAACAGACCTGTATTAACGATCAATGCTCATGCTGGGAAGGATTCCGATTGAACTACGATAATCAGACATGTAAACATATAGGTAAGCTATCATCATTTTTTCAAGTGCAAGATTAACATATATATACATATTTGAATGACTGATAGTGTTAAGGGTTATTAGGTCATACCCATGAAGTATACTTGTTGTAACCAGTCCATCATTTTGTTATGTAATATAATGTAAAGTACATCCACTAAAGGGAAGGGAAACGTATTACTCGTCCCTCTGACTGCTTTCAGTATCAGCGTGATTTTGGACGAAATGTCTCAATATAGTTCTTACAGTTGACTTAACTGACTCGGCACTTAGTTGTTTGGTGAGTAGTTTTTAGCAGTATAGAGTCAAGACACCAGTGATCTGAGCTTTTTCCTGACAAAGATCGCAAAATACCGTTTAAAATACCGTTGGTGTTTAAAACAAAGCATATATGATATACATACCAAGTTAATGAATTTCATTTCCGAATAATCTTTAAAGTTGTTTTTTTCTGCTCGGTTATATTTTTTGCAATTTCTACGATATTTTTTGTTCTATCAAAATAAAATCCGCGACATAAACCGTCAATTGATTGGTTCTTGACATTTCAAACAGACCTAAAATCTGTGCAGAATATATCATTTACCGTTTAAGGAAATCCGCGAAATTTTGGGATATCAAATAAAGAGTTTACAATAATGTGTGTTGTAATTCCTGGAAACGTGAAACCGGTTGATTGAGATATAATAGAACATTGGCTTACCCGGTACATTGTATCTAGTATGAGACGGCATCTGACAAATGGATGACCATAACGAGATACAATCAGGTACTCCTTTGATACACTTCGACGTCCTAGTATGTTGATTGGAGCGAAGTATCCCTGGTCTAAGGGAAATTTATTGTTGCATATAAGACGGATGTAACTCCCCTGAGGTCCAATAAATAATAGAGGAGTGACAGTAAACGACTACTTATGACATACATGTGTTCGAATTTAATTAAATTTTAATCATTCCTAGACCAAAGGGAGTAATTTTTATATACAATCTGGGTGCGGCTTTTGGAAAATAGTTTTCATTTTACGACCTATAAAATGCTAATAATCTCCTTCACATAATTTATTTAGAAACATTGTGGACGCCATAGCTGTTTTCACTTACTTACTTGCCACGTTTAATTTTCGAGGAGAGACAATCGTGAATATTCAGAAAAGATTAAACGATAAACACACGGCATTGTTGATCTTGCCATCAATCTCAGCAAAAAGATTTGTCAACAAGAAAGTCAATCATTCTACGGTTTCATCATCCGTATTCTTTAATTTGGCCTTTGTCGTGTGTTTTTATAATATATATCATTTCCATGATTATTTGCACCTTTGATATATCAGTTGTTGCAGGGGGTCGAGACTTGACAATGTACAAATAACAGATCTTTTTAAACATTCGGGTTAATGCAATGTTTACTGAAAATAAATCCTGAAAAAATGACGTCTGCTATTGGTTAACTTCTTCTTATCAAACGCGCACTGGGACGTCACTATAACTTTTGAATTGGTTCATTTGGACCAATTGATTGTTCTTTACTTTTTAGCAGCAATGTTGTTTGTAAACACGCTAGAAGTTTTCCCAAAATTTGCCAAAAAAAACAATATTAGAATACAATACTATCCTCTAGCAAATAATTAATCGTTTTCATATTTTTGACTATGATAAGATTGTCTTTATATCATTTTTGCTAAAAGTAAATGAACTTTTGCAATCTTTTTGAAAACAAACATCATTGTCAACCTTCTAATTTGTAACACTCTTTCTGATTGGATATCTTGCCGGGGTCTATATTTCTATAGACCCCGCTCTGCCGGGATCTATAAAAGCATGCGAGGGGAGATAACTCAAAAAGAAAATCTCTCTTCATAACAACAAAGATGGCGTCCGACACACACAAGCGTTCGAGGTTTGCCAATCATTTCCAGAATGAAATAGACTACAAGCAATCTAAAACGACAGCAAATTCACCGAAAAAAGCTATGAGGGGCCGCTAGAATGCTAATTAGAAAGATGGTTGTGTATTGTCCGAAGTATTGCCGAAAAGATGTCCGGTTAGGGCTACGTTATATTGAAAGCAGTCAAGGACAACTCAAACTCACAAAATGGCTTATAATTTGCAGAAAAATAATAAAAGATTGTCAGGGTGACAAATTCGTTATCTCTGAGTTAGGAGGGGTCTACGGGTTCATAGACCCCTTTGGTCTATAAAGACCAGACGGGGTCTATGAGCCCGTAGACTCCTCCTAACCCAGAGATAACTCTTTTTTTTTTTGTAGTTTAGTAATTGGTGAAACTGCATAATTCGTTCGTCTTTTATAAGTTTATAAACTAAATATATTAGTTCAGAAGCAAACAAGCCTAACCTGGAAGTGGAGTATATACAATGTTTTTGGGTTGCTTTGGGTCACCGAGTCCATAATAATAAGAACCCGCTTGATGACGCCCTGTCACCTTTAGACATTTTTTTCTAATTTGCATAAAACCAAAATAGCCACCATTGTTCTATTTGAATATACTATAATTAAGATATCTCGGCTTCTAGTTTGGATTATGAAAAATGTTTTAACGGTGCTTTAAAACACGAGGAACCCATTGGAATAACTTTCACGATTTGACAATTATGGTCGTTGTCAATATGTTAACATTTTGCTATACTTTTGAATGACATGCTTGATTGATCAAAATGGTGACAATATCATTTAACATGTTAAATTTAATATTAGTAGTTTGTCATAAATTAATTAATTCGAGGTTCCTATATACCGCGTTATCACAACCTAGTTCGTAGGTCGTCTAAAAGCGGTTCACAAATTATTATCCGTGGTTATAGGGCCTTTACAACCAGCCAATATCTTTCTCAACTCTCTGGGGAGCATACAGCCGGAGCAGCCATTTCGACGCTAACAGCTAGTATTCGACAATTTTAGCACTGCCCAACCACGTACTCAATTACAGCTGAGTAGACTGGAACAAGCGGACTGAAGTATCCTGCCCAAAGATACAACACAGTGCCATGCCGTAACTCGAACACGCAACCCTTCGGCCATAAGCCCGGCGTCCTACCACTAGACTACCGTGCCTCCTAATTGACGTATACGTTAGAATATTAGAGTTTATAGTGCATGTCATTGTACATAGTTATCAACATAAGTTTCCTCTCATATGTCTGTGTTAATACCTTTATGTATATTTTTCATCATCGTCTTCTGTATCAGAGGCTACATCACATTTAGTCAGTTTGCATATGTCAGCTCTGACTATGAAACAAATGTAAACGTATTGTGTGGATGGATATGTTCAAAACACCAAAGTTATTGATTTTTACATCTCACATTTCATTAGTCGCACTCAGCTGACTGTAGCCACTACTTTGTATTTTTCGCACGGAATCTGTATAAAAACACGACCGCTATTGATGTCTGTTATACATCACTCACAGCTATAGTTTTCAGGAGGAACAAAATATGAATAAAACCTCATGTTACCTCGCGTCCTCTAATTGACATTGTGGCACTCAATTGGCTTTATAAAAGTACTATACGTCGGCCTGTACGTAAGAAGTATATGGTATTTGTGGCGACGCCATGGTACTATTTCAATCAAAGAATAGGTGTTTTATGGCTTGCCGTAAAATGAAATAGAAACGTGTTGTAATATTTGACTCTTCCAAAAACCACAAATGATCGTAGATTCCATTGACACAACTAATTGCAAAATCAGTGCGTTTCGGTGACTTAAATAGCTATTGCTAATAGTCACGGTGAACATTTTACGTCAGAGCAAGTATTTGTACCGTAAACATATCTTAGAATGAGAGCGGTTCTTGTACGAACACATCCTCGATATCCAGGGGTTACGCTCACTTTCGCTCTCTGCAACCCTGGAATATGTCATAGCAAAATTGAAGGCACGCGGCTAGCTAGTTGATTGGTATCAGGTGAAACAAACCTGACCAATCACTAGGCTGATATTTGGCATTTGAAGATTATAGAGGAGTGACGCCCGACTTCAAAGCTAGCAAGTTTTACCGTTACGCGACCGCAGTTTCTTTTAATGTACATCAAAGGATTAAACGCGTCTTCTCGTGTCATCAACGAGTGGAGGGCACACTGAGCCTTCGATTTTGCTATGACATATTCCAGGGGGGTGCAGAAAGCGAAAGTGAGCGTAGCCACTGGATATCGAGGATGGTACAAATGTACGAACAGTGACTTTGACAATGGTCACAATGATGGTTCCGTGGATCAAGGTGAATGATAATTTCCTCTTAGACGATTTCGTTCTACAGCCATAGTCTTTAGTATCGCAAGGAAAAGGACAGAAGCATAAATAAACAGTTTGCTAAAATACAAACATCAAGTCACAAATAATATGTTCCGGTATTACGTTGGAATCGAACTTTCTCATCTCCTGGCTACGAAATTTGAATATAAGATATGGAGACTGTTGACAGTGATAGAGGATCACATGGTCATATGCATTTAAAAGGCTGGATAGTTCTAGTAGGAAACTTGCCTGTCGGAGATATAAAAACAAGACTTTATATCGAACATATAAAATGCATAAATACCCATAAATGCGACAAGCAATTGCAATCCCTCTGGTAGTAGCTTAACACTGTACTGCCAAACACTCTGAGGCGGTATTCTTTGACTATGATTATTGGTTTGTTGTGAAGTCTGCGTCTTGTTTAAAGTGGATGTTATAATTGAGAGCGACAGCTAGTGAAAAGGCAGAAAGTGCTGTTTTGAATGAAACTATTTTATTTGTGCATTTTGCTGTATAATAAAGTAAACACAAAACTTCTTGATATATGTTTTAAAAGCCTGACGTTGATAACTTTATTTCGCTTCATATCTTTAATTTGGCATTATGGAAACGATTTGATAAAATAAGAAATATAATAAACATAACAATGGTCAATTACGATGATAAACAACCCATTTTGGTACGATGTCGATATGATAAATTGATTTTAATTTATGAAACTGTATACAATCACATCGAATA